ACACAGCTTTCAATGATTTTTTTTCCTTCTAGCTTTTAAACAAATACATATTTTCCTGGGGAAAGATATTTTGGGTTGGTTTTTTTTTTTTTTTTGGGGGGGGGGGGGGGGGTTGGGGTGGGGGGAGGGCAGGGGTTTGGGGTCAGACGTACTCCCGAGCCGTGGAAGGCTGCGACTGCCGGTAGTACTGCTGTCCTCGCCGCTCCTTGGGGGGGCAGGAGCAGCACAGGAGGGACCCCCCCAGCACGGTGAGGCTGGCGGCCCCCCAGCCGATGAAGAGCGCCGAGCCGAACTCGTACCTGTGGAGACAGACAGAGGGGAGGGTTGGGGGGGGGGAGCAGAAGGGGCAGAGGTACACGGTGAGGTGAAGACACCATCGGCACGAGGAGGCTTGAAGCCCCGATGGGGCTACGGGCAACGTGGAGGCAGATGTTGGTTCTTCTCCTCTTTGGGAAGCCCCGTCTTTCACCTCGGCCACATCTCAGCTCAGCTCCCCCGGGGCTGAAACTCCACGAGAGCTCTCAGGCTCATCCTGCGCTAAGTCATCGGTGGGACCGACCAGAACTTTAACATTGGGGACATCTGCAACGTGGCAGCTGTGGGGGGGCACAGGTCCCATCCCGTGTGGGACGTCCCATCTGCCTACCACCCCATGCGTTGCCAAAACCAGCAAGGGAAGGTCCTGTGGGAGTCATGGAGTTGTCAGAGCTGGAAGGGACCTCTAGGGATCATCCAGCCCAACCCCCTGCCAAAGCAGGGCTGCCCAGAGCACATCACTCAGGAGCATCCAGGTGGGGCTTGAAGATCTCCAGAGAAGGGGACTCCACACCCTCCCTGGGCAGCCTCTGCCAGGGCTCTGCCACCCTCACCCCAAACAAGTTCTTCCTCAGATTTCAGTGGAACTTCCCATGGTCCAGCTTGTGCCCATTGCCCCTTGTCCTGTCACTGGGAACCACTGGAAAGAGTCCGGCTCCATCCTCCCTCAACCCACCCTTTAGACACTTGTCAGCATTAAGAAGGTCTCCCCTCAGCCTTCTCTTCTCCAGGCTCAAGAGCCCCAGCTCTCTCAGCCTTTCCTCAGCAGGGAGATGCTCCAATCCCTCCAGCATCTCTGTTGCCCTACGCTGGACTCTCTCCAGCAGTTCCCTGTCTCTCTTGAACTGGGGAGCCCAGCACTGGAGGCAGGATTCCAGTTGTGGCCTCCCCAGTGCAGAGCAGAGGGGGAGAATGACCTCCCTCCACCTCCTGGCCACACTCTGCCCTACGCAGCCCAGGATCCCATTGGCCTCTTGGCCACAAGGGCCCATTGCTGGCTCATGGAGAGTTTACTGTCCACCAGGACCCCCAGATCCTTCTCCTCAGAAATGCACAGGGACAAGCTGGGATTGGGATAAAGAGCATCCCCTGAGCCAGGCTCTTACCTGGCGTTGACGGGGACGGTGCTCTCTCTGAAGAACTCATAGGTGACCTGTGTTGCGTACAGGGACACGGCGGCCAACGTGCACAGACCTGAACATAGAACCATAAAAGGGTTTCGGTTGGACAGGACCTTCAAAGGTCACTTAGTCCAAACCCCTCCATGAACAGGGACACCTTCAACTAGACATAGAATCACAGAATGATATGGGGTTGGAAGGGACCTCTGGAGATCACCCAGTCCAACCCCCGGCCAGAGCAGGGCCACCCAGAGCAGGTCGCACAGGACCGTGTCCAGGGGGGTTTGAATGTCTCCAGAGAAGGAGACTCCACCACCTCCCTGGGCAGCCTCTGCCAGGGCTCTGCCACCCTCACACTGTTTAGGTGGAACTTCTTATGTTCCAGTTTGTGCCTATTTCCTCTTGTCCTATCCCTGGGCACCACCGAAAAAAGACATCAACCGTCGAACATCAGTGACCCCCAGCCCGTCACCACACCAGCCCCTCACCCTTTCTTCCATCAAACAGCTTTTAAAAGGTGTTTGAGGTCTTCTACCTCAGCGAGGTGCGAGGTGCCTTACCACAGAGGATGAAGAGGACACCACCGGCAACAGCGATGCGGCTCTTGGTCACGGGGTCTTCTTCCCCGACTTTGGTGCATTTCATGCCCACCACGCTCACGATGATGCCGAAGAAGCCCAGGAGGAGAGAAATCACCATGAGAGCCCGGGAGGTCTGGATGTGAGCTGTGGGGTGGGGAGGAGAAGCCGCTCGCCAGCCGGTGCTTTCGGCCGGAGCCGGTCTCTCTCCAGGAAAAGCAAGGTCACCCCGGCCCCGGGGATGAACCTGTCCTTAACCCTGTCCTCGCCGCCTGGCCCCGTGTCACCCCCTTCCCTCGTGGGGTGACCTCAGCTCAATTCCCGGCACCGCTCTCAATGCCCTCCCCGACCTTCCTCCCTGCCACATTCCTCCTCGCCCTGACTCCCCGGGCTGGGAAACACCTTGCCCACAGCGGCACCGAGGTCCCCGAGTGCCACGGGGGGTGACGTACGGCCCCGAGGGGCTGCCATGTCCCCACGGGGCACTGTCAGTCCCCACACACGATGCCCACCCTGGAGACAAAAC